TAGTTGCGGCAGGCCACGCACGCCGTGTTGTTGTCCGGGGCCGTGCAGCTCCCCAGGCACTCGGGGTGGCAACACTCGTTCTGGTCCGTGCAGGCTCGCTTCCCACACGAGCTGGGGCACACTGCAGGGCAGAAAACAAGGGGGCATCAACACCAGCTGCTGCACACTGGCACTAAAGCAAAAACCCCGTATACACTTTGATTCCCTGGGCGCTGGAGCGTCTCTGAAAACAAACAAACAAAGAAGCCACCAACATAAAAACCACTCTTGTAAAAAAAATTCCACTTTTCTCAGCTTTAGTTGCCTGAAAGTATCTTTTCCTCGGATCAAATTTATGACATGAGCGAAATAAGTAATAAAGAGAACTGCTGAAAGCAAGATCAACATAAGGATAATGGAAACAGGCAGCACTGGAACCTTTTCCACAGCCCTGGTATTACGGATGATTTTTTTTTTTTTTTTTTTTTTTTGGCATGCTGACTTATTGTCTTTCTAAGCATTTCTCGTCTTCCCTATTTGTGCTTCAAATTGGTCTTTCGCTGGCAAGAAAACAAGCCTCCTTCAAACAACTTAATTACACTTGTAGGAGGAAGCACTGCTCCACTGCAGCACACATGGTTAGGCTGACCCCCGAGTAGCATCCCAATGTTGCTTATGTGTGCAAAACGCGGTTTAATAAAGTATCAAATCATCATCCACATCAAATACCGAGGAATTACGGAGCTACTACTTTCCCCCTGAAGAGCCTAAGAGAATTCTGCCTTATCCTCAAATCCTGGGTTCAGAGAACAAAATATAAAAGGGGGGGGGGGAGGGGGGAGAAGGGGCGCAAATTTATGGAGACAATTCGTTTTATGTGAAAGCGTTTCAGCTTGGAAGGCACGAGCAGAATCCTGAGCAGCCCAGCTCACCACTGTGAGATCAAAAGAAGTGGCAGCATCGTATTTATGTAACAACAGCATTTTGATTACAGCGCTGTATGGCCTTTTAGCCACACGAGCCATGTGCCAGAGGCTCTGGAAACACGCAGGCTGGAAATCTGGTTTGCATTTAGTAGCTGCTCGCCACTTTCTAGCTTAGCTAAAACACTGCCCCAGCAGCAACAGCAGCAGAGCGAGTTCAGTGGTGCCACTGCAGCCAGACCCAAGGGAAGCACCACCGACATTCAAACGGGATGATCTGAGCAAACAGCAGAGAACCAGGAAAGAAGTTCGTATCCCAAAACCAACGTGGAAGTTCCTCACAAGTCCTGCATTGTGATTCCTCTCTCAGTTTGCAGCTATGGTGTTGTTTTCACAATGCCACTGAGCAGAGCATCAGCACAGGACAAAATGCATGAGAGTACTACTAGGCAATAGCAGCAATAACAGTAATAATTCCACCCCCACAAAAAAACAACCAAAAAACCCCACAACCAACTAAAAAAAAATCCAACCCCACTGCATGGAGGACCTTGACGTCTTACACAGAGTTCTGATTACAAGAAGTTGTTTTCTGACAGCTTTAGGGCAGTGCCCACCTTGAAAAGGACTTGTCAAAATGCCACCAGAGAATTCGGCATTTCTTATCAGAATGATTCTGTATCGACTCTGATTCATTTCAGTCATCTTTTCTTTTGGTGAATGGATGGAGAGGGGACACTGTGAGAACGAGGAGGTGGGGGCGTGAGGACAGCCAATGCCTGCCCAGGTGGCACAAGTATCATAAGTATCACATGCAGGCCAAAATAAGAAAATGTTTGCAGAGCCAGCTACCTGTAAGACTGCAGAGAGCAGGATTGCAGAGGCAACCACTGCTAAATAATGCATTGTGTAAAGCTGCTGGTTTGTTGGGGGTTTTTTTAGCTTGAAAAGGGGGAAAAAAAACCCCCATACACCCCAAACCCTTACACCAAAATAAAACATGCATGCAGGTGTGTATCCTTTTTTTGACTGTCATCTGCACCAGAGTAAAAGAAGTGTACCCAGATGCCACCTTAGTAAAGCATCACAAATCGCCTCTCACCCCAAGGACTTGCATTTGCCACTACTAAGGGATTAAAAAAAATAAATAAATAAATCAGTATGTCTTGCTAGCAGATGGACTGCTGTGCTGAGTGGGTGCCAGAACTCAGATTTCATGTGGTAGCTGCATTTCCAGTTCAAAGCCCTACTAAAAAAAAAAAAAAAAAAAACAAAACAAAAAAAAAAAAACACCCTCCCCAAAGTTCAGTACTGACGTATTGATTAACTACATGATTTTTTGTTTTCATCTAGACAATCCGCCCAAAAACAAATACTTCCACAGTAAGTATTGAGATAAACATAGCACAGAAAGATGGAGTTTATTTCGTTCTTGGGAAAGACTCCTGTATTCCCTTAATGCCTCTGCCATTCATGAGCAGTCTGCTATAAAAATAGGATTCCCTGCATCTCCTGGTAAATCTGCTGACTCTCGTCTACAGAAATATAAATTGGAGCACAGAAGGATACACAAGTTCACACGAAAAAGGCAATCACTGGAAAGGGCTTTCAAAACTATAGTAGTATTTTAATCACCACCGTTTTAACAGGAACTCCCGAAAACTTTTTGGAGATTATTTTGTAAAAGCTCAGCAACCTCCCTTTCCCCTCAGTCCTATTTTCTGCTTGTTCTTGCAAACGTTGGCAGAGTTTTCAGCCTGGAGACAATATGGGTATCCTGTTTCTTTGAAGAGGCAGAACAAGAACTTCTGTGTGTGTGTGTAGGACACATTATCAACAACAAAAAGCCTTATCTGCCTGACACGCCAGTTCCCTCAGATATCCCTGTTCCAAAATCCTTACTAAACAACACTGGCTGACCTCACAGCCCAGCCCCATCTGTCCTCTCCTCACCCTCCCGAACTGTGCTCCTTGGGCTTGCTAGGTTTGTACCAAAGCACGTAAAATGCAGGTTCCAAAATACTTAGGCCAAAAAAAGCGCCCTGAAATACACCGGGTAACTTGTTGACTTTAGTCCACGAGAACATCAGGGACACAAACATGAGCAAACAGTGCTGACATTTGGGGACAGAAATTATCAGGTACAACAGTGCCTTGGACCATGAAAGCTGATGACTGCATAAAACAAAAAAAAAAAACAACCCCCCCTGAACAAATCCTTGCTGACAAGCCCAAGGGCAAAAAATACTTAATTGTCATCACATGGAGATACCAAAATAATGGAAAATATCAGAGACCTTGGAGGGCAGCCACGGGAGAGGGAAGTCAAAGCAAGAGCTGGAGAAGGGCAGACCCTTTAGCATTTTAATAAAGAGATGATGAGGCTTGACTAGACCAGTGTCTAGTTACATCTGGGGAGTGAAAGTACTGTCAGATCATCAGATATCCAAAGAAGGACAGTGCAGGAGTTCCAGCACCCACAAATCAAACTTACTGGAGCAAAAGTAACACCAGTACTTTCTTTCACCATCCATGCCTCACCTTCTCTCTGATTTCTTCAACTCAGTTTTCCTTGTCAACAAAATTAAGGAGATTTTCCGAGTACAGAATCACAGAATCAACTAGGTTGGAAAAGACCTCTGAGATCTTCAAGTCCAACCTTTGACCCAACACTACCTTGTACTATTAAGAGCCAATGATCAGTTGCCAAAAAAAGGCAAAATATTCCATTCCAAGATGCCCCTTTAGTGAGCAAATCAGATTCAGACTTGACTTACAGAAAGGACACACTTTAAAACTAAATGCAAAGATCTTAGAAAGAAGAGGAGCCCCAGGAGAATCCCACTCACAGAGACTCGTTATTCTCAATTAAAACCCCCCACGATGCTAAAAACAAACAAACAAACAAACAAAAAATGGCAAGAAACAAATCATCTGTGTTTACAGCAATTGCTTCCTGGACAGGCTGACTCTAAGGAGGTGGTAGTAAGTTTGTCTGACATCTGATGCCTCCCTGCTCTGCGAAACGAGCCCCGAGCCAGCGCTCGCTGCAAACGCCCCGCGTTGACATCACGGCTACGGCGGAGTCCGGGCAGACAAAAGTGTTCTTATCACCTCCAAGACGCCATGACTTCAGCGAGGCTGCAGCAGAAAAATCAGGTGAATAAACAATCAGTCACAGGGAGCGAAAAGGCAGCCAGAGGAGGAAGACTCCTGGCAAGCGGAGGCGCCGGCCTCGGCCAAGGATGGCACCGCGCCAGTCACATGCGGGCGAGCAAAAGGTTGCCAAGTGTGGGATAAATATTTTTTAAAGATTCTTTCTCTCCTTGTAAAATTGTATTTGATCCTTCTTTTTTTTTTTTTTTTGTCGTTTGGGTGTTGTGGTTTTTTTTCTTCTTATACTGTTTGATTTTTTTAGAGCAACCCTCACATAAGATAATGTCTCAGAGAAAAAACAAACAGCAGGGAAAAAAAAAAAAGGCACCTAGTTTTGAGCAGAAAGCAGAGGAAGAAAGGAGTGTTTTCTCCTGGCCAACTACTGAAAAAAATTAACTGTCTACATTTATCCACAAAGACAGAAAAATACAGTCACTTCTGGAATGTTAATCCTTCTACTTGACAGAATTTTTAAAATACTGCATTTTAATGGGCTAAACTTTGGTACAGCCTTTCAAACAGCTGACTTCAAAACTTCGAGCAGCCTATGCAGGACCTGATTTCTTTTGCCCAGTATATTGGGAGAAGAG